TAACCACTGAGCCACCTTGCAGCCCTGATCTCCAATATGCACAATGTAATTTCTTGTTCCCTGTCCAGTCATTCAATCAGCCCCTACGTCATTAGGTGATGTATCAAAATTACACATTTAGAGGTTTTGTTCCATGAAAACAGTCCCTTTTTGTCTTAAAATGGCTTAGATGTAGCTCTACCCCACCTCATTCTGACAGCAGCTCAAGCACACCAGCTCACCAACAGCTCTGCTCAAACAGTGCAAAACTACATCGTGCTACATGATGGCAAGTTGTAGCATTGGAGTGATTCAACCATACATGTTCAAACCGGAAACTGATTCTGAAGAAGAAGAAGAATAGAGCAGATCCCATCACACGTTGACAGGATTGGTTTGTTGGGTTTGTTGCATATAAAACTCTGGAAGGTTGAATCTGTGTTTTTGAGACGAAGCAGAAAAACTCAGCCATGATGTTGACCGCTTGTTTTGTTCATGACGTGTCTTCTAGCATATGAGAAATATAGTCTGGATTTGTTAACAAAGTAAAAAACTTGAGTTTCACTGAAGATGGTCTTGAACGGGTTCTATCAAGAATCTAATAAAGTCTGGGTTTCTTTGAACCTAATTATAGATGTGTTAATTTTGCAGCATGACATACAGAGACCAAAGATGTTTCAGTAGCCACCCGCTGTCTCAACTGTTCTCTGGCATCCTTACATCTTTGGTCAACAACCGACTCTGCAGGTAAAACATCTTTTATTGTATTTCAGTGTTTCCTCTTTTGTGGCTGATATTAGTGATGATATGTACTCCCTCAATAGTGACTGGATTGACCATGCACCACCGGAGTCAGTCCTAAGAGTTCTCATCTGCCTTCGATTATTGATCAGAGATCCCCATCATCAGGTAGAACTTGACAAAAATCATTCAGTCTTTAATGTTTAGCGTACAATCTTTGAGTATTTCCACTATGCGAAAACAATAAATGTCATTTTCTTTTAGAAACTCTTCCATGAGCTCCAAGGCATCAGTTTACTTGCCAGGGTAAATGCTCTGGGATTCTATCCACATCCCTCAACAGTCTGTGGTTTATGATGTGTCCAGATACATCTCATGTTATCTTCATTCCTGCTCTGTTTGTCTTTTAGTACATGGAGTCTGTCACTGCCATGTATATGTCATGTGGAGAGAAGGCATTTGCCACGCAGAAGCTGGTCACAATGACCTGTGAGTAATCCGAAGGCAGTGTCACAGAACAACACTGATAATACAGACTGTGACCGTCTTAGTCAAGGGTGGATTTCCTGATTGTTTTACAGACATGTTTCAGAAGCTGTCTGCTGCTGAAAATCAGAGGGTCTGGGTCATCGAGAGCGGTGCTCATAGGGTAAGTGAAAGGTTGTGATAAGGTTATCTCTGTGATGTTTTTCTGTTGTTGAAATCGTATACATGATATGGCGATCCTCTCACCTTTCCACAAGCACCAACATCAGTCCTCTAAGAAACATTAAAATCTAAGCAATTTACTGAGCACTTTTATGCTCCCCAGACAGTAACATCGCTCTGTTTTAGACCGTTCATGCACTCGTATTCCTCAACTCGCTCTCAGGTCAAAATATCCTGTTTATTTTTTAAAACAGATCATGCAATTGTACAGTTTTTGTTATGTGTTTTTAATTTTTTTTCCTGTGCTTTGTGGAAAACAAATTCCAATTCCAACTTTTCTAGACCCTGGTGAAGCTGCTCTCAACAACAGATAGCAGTGTGCTACTGGGAGCCCTGCTGGCACTCACCACTTTGGCTGAAAGGTAAGCAAATATTCTGCTCAAGACATTAAATGCATAAATGATTTAATCTTTTGCGAGGTTGTTTTTTTCCCCCCCTGCAGCTCAGAGTGCAAAAAGGAGATAGGGGAGTTGCCAATAGTGGAGAGCCTCCTTGTCATACTGCAGGAATATGATCTACTATCAAAGAGGTTGGACATCACTCCTTTGTTGAAGTTTTGAGAGCTTTCAGATAAAATGTTTTGCCAAAATTATTCTGATTATTTACATACATACATATTAATTAAAATACAGCCATGAAAACACTGCAGATTCTGTAGTATCTGCACATGTCAGATAATACAGTATGCACTGTGTTCTGGATAAACTTCATATTTCCACCAGGATGAGTGCTGAGCTGCTGAGGCTGCTGTCCCTGGTGCAGCATGTGAGGGACCAGGTGAGGGAGCTGGAGGGCATCCCGGTGCTGCTGAGCCTGCTGCACGGCCAGCACCTGAAGCTGCTGTGGAGCGTCACCTGGGTCCTGGTCCAGCTCTGCGAGGATCCCGACACCAGGGCAGAGATCCGGAGCTGGGGTGGAGTGCAGCAGCTCCTCCGGCTGCTCAACAGGTTTGTGACACTGAGCAAGTTTTTAATATTTGTATGACATCATATTAGGGCAGTTGTATTTTCCACAGCTGCACTCAAACACAGAACGGCCTCTGTGTCCACTGACTTGGAGTGTCTCTACCAAAACCTTTCACCACTTTTTTTTTTTAACCTGAAAATTCTCTTATCAGATACCGCTCTGTCCACACCATGTGTTTTGTAATGCAGTATTTTTGAGAGTTAGATGCCATGAGAGCAGAAAGCACACATTACAAACTGGAGCACAGAATTTGGAAGACATGGATGTTTATCGTGCAGGGAAGGTCTAATTGAAATGTGCTGTTAGTCGCATTATGCTAATGGGGTGATTCTGGAATTTGACCCATTTAAAAGTTTTAAAATAGGTCCCCTTTTTTAATTTTTTTTTTAAATTTATTTTTTTTAAACTGAATTTGTCATGTGAAAAATGTCCAGATTGATTCTACCCCATGGCACCAAAAACCTGTTAGAAGTTTGTCAGGAGGTGACAACATTGTGGTTCTCCTTATGAACAAACAAACCCAAAGCACGTCAGTTAGCCGGTGGCATGTGTTGTGGCACTCCTTCTCTCTGCCCTCACTCTCACTCAACTGCCAGCCTTTAAGAGGCAGTCCCTAATCAGCCCCTCAGGACGACCAACACAAGGGTTGACCTAAAATAATCAAACACAAGAAATACACAAAAATACAATCTATCTTTACCTTTAACTATAATAACAAACATTAAAACTAAGTATTTATTTCCTAAAAATGACGACGGACATCCTCATCAAGCAATGTATTTTTCATCACCTGAAGAAATCACTATCCCCCCTCTCCTCACCTACACTTGGTTTCTCCCAGAACCTTTAAAAAGGTGTTCCAGCTAAAAGCGTCCCCAATGGGCTGGAACACCTGAGGAGACAAAAGAGAGGTGAGTTATCTCTAACTTTTCAATTTACACGGTCTTAAAATAATGCCACAAACCCACTTTTATGGTCATTCAGTTATTAAGTCCAATCACTTAATCATGTTATGAAAACTGTTTTTTTCTTTGTCTTGTAGGCCTCAGCAGGGTTTCCACCTGGTGCTGTAAGGAGAAGCCATCAAACAGCACATGGCAGCACATGTTAGCCCCAAAGCTACACTCATTAAACCTATCCAACAGTTATTGTCCTTTGTCTTATTATGTCTTCATCCCAGAATGTGAACTCCCATGTAGGTAATTAAGGTGACCTTCATTACATGACTGCAGGCATGGAGGAGTGACCAGCATCTCAAAGCTTCGCTTCGAGGCCTGAAACAAGTGACACAGTCATGTTGTTATGATCCTATTCAGCACAGTATAACACAAAATCACTCTCTCAGTGACAGGCAGTATGTCTCTGACCACTACTCCATCGAGACGCTCTCCAGTGCCAACGTAGCCGGTCGCATCCAAAGAGAGCACATGACGGAGCAGCTCAGCCCACAGGAGGAGGTGGACAACACTACGGCCCTGCAGTCAGGTCAGCGAATACACAGGGTGTCTCACATTTCACATGAATCATGCCTTTTCGTTAGGGATCCGTTTGAGTCTCGAATCACCCACTAATATGTTGTACTTGCAGTGATGTGAAATGATGAAAAGGACAGTAAATATTTACTTGTGCTTGCTGCTGCACAGTAAAGATATTTTCCCCCGGAGGAGTGTTATCAGTCGCTGAGAATGTAAACAGTTTTTTCCTGAAGTGAGAGAATCAAGACCGCTGAGACTCGACTAACTGTGTCTACAGTATAATTTTAGGGGAAGTGGTTGTAAATTTCCTGTTTCTGAATGTCAGATAACACAACAATAAAGTAAAACTCATTTCAATATAAAAACACACAGTCTGCTGTTTAGCATGGCTTTACACGTCGAAGGCGTCAGTGTTTCCATCCGTTGTACTGTTGTGTGGCTGTGAGAGGGAGTTCTAAATGTTCACAGCTGTTGTTCAGACTGTTTGAGACTGCATGCACGAGTTATTAAATCAAATAACACCTCTAATCCCTCTTCCAGCCTGCTGTACAGCTCTGACTGAGATGAGTCTGGATGACACATCTGCTCACCACATTGTGCAGGTAAAGGAAACTCCTCACTGGCAGAGTTCATATTAGGATCTGTGAAGCGTTTCATTACATGGCATCAGGTAACTGTGCTGTTCTTTTATCAGGAAAATGGCATTTACATAATCACAAAGTTGATTTTACCACAGAACTCTGGTGCGAAGATTACTTCTTTACAGGTATATGGCTTAAATATGTATTAAATCACATTTTAATGAAAATGAAGGCAACAGCACATTGATTAATCTCTTTGCATGCTGGCAGTGCTATGTGTTCCGGACCCTCCGGTTTCTCTTCAGTGTGGAAAGAAACAGACATCTGTTTAAGAGGTGATGAAACACCGTTAAAAAGTTAAAGAATAAAATAAGTTCACTGCACATATAAAGTCCTTTAGAACTGACTGTTGTTGGATATCTGCCAAAGAAAGAAATCCTGATAAATGTCCTCCACTGCTGTTTTGTAATCTTTTATCCGTTTCAGACTGTTTCCCACAGACCTCTTTGAGTTGTTTATTGATGTTGGACATTATGTGCGGGACCTCGCAGCCTATGAGGGTCTGCAAACCAAGATTTCACTCTACACTGTAAGAAAACAGCTTCCAAATGGGTTCGTGTGTTTGCTCAGCCGGTTTTGGGCTGTAAAATCAAATAAATTGGCTAAACTGACAAGGATCATTCTGGATGGAAAATGCAGGAAGAGGCACTTGACAGTCTGAGAGAGAACATTGAGGCCGTGGACCAGAACCGACCTCCCCTCAGAGTCATCAACGGTTACTCCATCCTGGACCATCTGGGCACCGGGGCCTTTGGAAGTGTCTTTAAGGTACAATAAACATCCTCAAAACTGACAGAATGTGCACTTAACAATGTTGGTTTGTGTCAAATTTCTGTGCCGCAGGTACTTCACAGCAAGTGTTGTTGATTTTAATATTAAGCTTTTGATGACAGGTCCGAAAGCAGAGCGGGCAGAACCTTCTAGCTCTGAAGGAGGTGAATCTACACAACCCGGCATTCGGCAAAGACAAGAAGTCCAGGGACAGTAATGTGGAGAAGATCATCTCTGAGCTCACAATCATCAAAGAACAGGCACGCAGCTCAGTTTTAATCTTTTAATAGCGTGCTATTTAAACCGCTAGCATCACAGTTTGTGTAGTTTGATGTCTCACTTGTTGTTCCTTCATTCTAGATGACTCACCCAAACATTGTTAGATATTACAAGACGTTTTTGGAAGGTGAGGATAATTACCTGCACTTCACGTTACCTGTTACTTCAAGCCCACAGAGATTGTGATTAACGAACAAACAAAGCCAGAAACCCTGATCATGTTGTCCACTTCAGGCGACAAACTGTACATCGTGATGGAGCTGATTGAGGGAGTGCCGCTGGCCGAACAGTTTAACTCTCTGAAGGAGAAACAACAGCGATTTACTGAAGACAGGATTTGGAATATGTTCATACAGGTAACAACTGTTGAACTCTTTGGGGAATAAATGTTTTTTTTGGCACTGAGCAGCTGGTATTAAAAGAATTTAGTTTTACGTAGAACAAGAAAGATCAGCTGCATTTGTGAGCAGATGTTCAAAGTGGTGCTTGTCAGTCTGCTTTAGCTCAACTGTGTAACTGTTGAGATATAATCTAAACCCATGTACTAATTACCTATTTATGACGGCCCTTTGTCAAGCAAATAACTGAAAGGTCAGCCTTGATAGTGAGACAAGTATCAGTAGAACAGTAACTCCGAGCCAGAGGGATAATCCGTCATGTGCTAAAACTATACTGTATGTGTACATGTTTGTGTGTATGAGAAAACTAAATATGTAAATATTACTGCACCGGACACACCTTCCAGAAATCTGAGCCACCTGTAACCTCACACAACACTTGATGCTGCATCTAAAACTGTGTAAAAAAAAAAATTGAGAAAAAGGCCAAATTCACAGCCGAATGAATGACTGTCCAGCCTCTGTTGCTTAAATTGACAACCTGAATGCAAATCTGACCAGAAAAATAAGTAGATCAGGCATAAAAATCTCCAATTCAAGAAGCTTTAGTGTCTCGTGTGACAGACTGTTGCAACAATATTCATGTTTGTAGAAGTAGCAGTGTTAAATAACCTGCAGTTTACAAAAAAAACTGCAAGCACATGAGGAACATGATGGATGAGCTGTGAGAATAAAGAGAAAACACTTCTGTACTGTAACTGCAATGACAGTGTGATTCTCCATCAGCTGCACCATCTATTTCCGTCAAGTTGATATAACGTCTTCATGCTCCCTCAGATGTGTCTGGCGTTGAGGTACCTGCACAAAGAGAAGAGGATCGTCCACCGTGACCTCAGTCCAAACAACATCATGCTGGGGGAGAAAGACAAAGTCACCATCAGTCAGTAGCTGTTAGCAGCTTTCCACACTACATATCCAGCCACAGCACATTTCTCAGCTTGCTGTACCAATAAAGTTTAACCTGTCTTTCCCCTACCTGAAGCTGACTTCGGTCTTGCTAAGCAGAAAGAAGAGAACAGCAAGCTGACGTCAGTGGTCGGCACCATCCTTTACTCCTGGTGAGGAAATTCATTGTCTTGGAGTGAATATAGAGCAGTTATTACAACCTGCTAACGTGCAGGTGCAGGACTTTCTGCAGGTGCTTGTAGTTCTAGCTACAGCTATGTACAGTTGTCTTGTGTTTATCAAGATTTTATGACAAAAATCAATTCACACAGTCATATTTTGGGGACCCTCTTCCTATGAGAAAACCCAACAATTATTACTATTTTCCAAAGAAAGTATAATTTTGTCCAGTTTCTACATCTTTAAAGGGATCTTTATACTTGCTTTTAAAAGAGTGCTCTGCTGATTGACATTGCACATCTATAACACCGGGCTGCAAGGTGTCCCGGTGGTTAGCACCGTCGCCTCGCAGCTAGAAGGTTGCCGGTTCGCGTCCCGGTGAGGACACCCGGGATCTCCATGTTCTCCCCGTGCAGCGTGGGTTCTCTGGCTTCCAGAAACATGCTGAGGTTAATTGGTGATTGTAAATTGTCCGTAGATGTGAATGTGAGTGTGCTTGGTTGTCTGTCTCTAAGTGTAGCCCTGTGATAGACTCCAGCCCCCCATGACCCTAGTGAGGATGAAGGTGTAGAGATAATCGATGGATAGTTTTGTCTTCTTCATCCCATGCTTTCTTCTTTCTTGTCAAAACTTGGGATACTTGAAGGGGTTAAGGTGAGATCTCGTGGCTGGGGTTTGTAGGCATGTGTGTTTGTGTTGTCAGTCCAGAGGTGGTGAAAAACGAGCCTTACGGAGAGAAAGCCGACATCTGGGCTCTGGGCTGCATCCTCTACCAGATGGCCACTTTACAGCCTCCGTTTTACAGCAGCAACATGCTGTCACTGGCCAGCAAGGTAACAAGAGCGCACACAAGATTCACATTTCACACTTGACTGCAGATGTTTTTTTTTTGTTTTTTTTTCTGCCCTCAGTTGTTCATCTTCTCTTTTTTCTGTGCTGGTAGATTGTCGAGGCTGTTTACGAGCCAGTCGAGGAGGGATCTTTCTCAGAGAGAGTCACAGACATGATCAGATGGTGAGATTATGGCGTTAATGGGTCAGTTCGCCTGCAGAGGGCTCCATTCTATCGGCTGCTTGACCTGATTCAATTGATGGAGTTGGGAATAGTTTATCTCTTTAAAAAAAATCTAATTTCCTTAAAATAATGTTATTTACACAATTACTTAGAGCATTGTTTTTGTGTTTTTGTTGTTGTAGGTTAATATTAAAAAACTGATAGCCTCATGATTTTCTATCCTAACTGTGACTGTGTTGCATTCATATCTGTATTCTCTGCCATGATTTCTTCTACACTGTCTAATAAAATGCTCAACAAGCACATTCATGCAGTACTCTGTTCTGTTGTGGTTCGTCCTGTCAGGTGTCTGAGTCCAGACGCAGAGCAGCGGCCGGACATCGTGACCGTCAGCTCCAGGATCTCTGACCTCATGATGAGGCTGATGGACGGACTCTACACGTCCCACAAAGCGCTGGAGCGGAGAGCAGAGAGAGACCGGAAACGGGCGCAGAAGTACTTCCATGAAAAGCACGAAAGCAGGACGAACTGCAGTCACTCCAATCCGTCACAGGTAAATGTTTAAAAATCACACAACGATTCAGATAGTAGTCGTTGCACAAAAGGTTACGATATGAACTTTTCGGTTATTGTGTTGCACACTTTGCAGGAACGGCTCTTCATGAAGACTGGATCTCAGGCTGCGTGCTCTTCGACCACCTGCAGCTCAAACCACAGCGAGCAGAGGATCAGTACAGGTTTCATACGGCTCAGGATTTAACACAGACTGTGAAAGATTGAAACCAAGATGATATGATGTGTTGCAAATCTGTTTTTAGGTGATGCATCAGATGGGAGTGCTGAACCATCAGACACTGCTGCCTCTACTGGTAAATACTATGGTCAGTTCGGTTAAAGCTGCTAGAATTTTAAAGAGATTTTTTTTTTTTTAACGTGCCACAGAACTGTGTTTTTCTTTGAGGCAATTGCAAACCTTTATTATTAGTTGTTGTGGAGGAATTCAGGGATTGGAATTGGCAGTCGGAGTCTGTTTTCATGCCTCCTGTTGAACAGAATTTGGCAATCAAAGGTCACTGCAGTGAAATGGTGACAAAACACTTTCATGGCCATAAAATTTAAATTCTAATTTGGGCAAACTTTTGCACAAATGTCTAAAAGAATTTAAAAGATGAAGCAGTTGCTAGTAGAAACAGGGATCTTCCAGCAAAATACAAGTCGAGCAGGTGCTGCTTAGCTCAAAGACAGCAAATGTTCGGATTACAGAAATGAAGTCAATCCAAAGCTTTTTATTAGCAAACCAACTGTTTCCCAGTCAAGGCTGTGAATGAAGCAACGTGCTCAAGACCCCTTTTTGTCTTCTGTGAAGTCAAGCAATGACCTTTTATATCACAAAGGTCAACTTCCCTATGACATCATGTCCAGCAGAAACATGTTTTCCACCATAACTCAGGAGAAGAGGTCCAGACTGTGACTGTATGTCACAGATACAGTCAGACACCGAACCGAACTGGTGAGACAGGTCTTGGGTGTCCACCACTAACCTGTCGTGGTTGTATTGATTTCCTGTGCTGCTGGGTTTAAGACGTGGACGACGCATCCGTGTTTTACAATCTGCAGCTTCTGTGCAGAAACATCCACCTGTGAAGCGTTGCTGTCCACTTTGTGTTCAGTCACATCAGCTTTGTTGCTTTTGTTCACATACAAGGGACTTGACAGGTTTCTGTTGATCTCATTGATGCTACTTCTACTACTAGTAACAACAACAACATATATTTTATGATTCTGAGCAGACGTGGATGTAAACTGCTACCTGACCAGTTCTGGAGCAACTTTAAACGCGAGACGGGAATCCTAATCTAAGACGACTCATTGTCTTGTTTCTGCTTACGAGTTGAGCTGTAGCAGATTTTGTTCTCCAATTCAGACAAAACATGATTTGTTTCCTGTTTTGCTTTGATCAAAGGGTTAAAGTCCGGCGCCTGTGTTACACCTGATCACGTTCTGGACAGGTAAATGAACAAGCCCTCGTACATCCTCACAGTCGGTGCTGTATCTAGTCCTAACACGTGTGGAAACAATGATTTAATAAAGAACAGCTTTCTCTAGCTACAAATGTTTGTTGGTGTGTAGTTATCCAGACACAAACCTCCTGACCTGCCTCTCCCACTTGTCTTTTTCTCAGTGAGGATTTTGCTGCTACAAAGATGAAACCAAGACCAGGTACCTCTTCAGCCTGATTGTCAATCCTTTGCGTTTAAATCTCCTGACAAGACGAGACAGAGTAGATAATGCTGTTGAATATAAGCTGTCAAAAAACAGCACAATGGGAAGACCTATTATAATTTATAGTCTCTAGTAAGATGCATAAGTCCTGTTTGTTTAGTCCTGTCAGTCAGTGTGTGTGTTTTTGCTCCTGTCTCAGTGTCGGGGGTGATCTGTGTCTCCCAGAAGAAGCTTCGACAGATTGATGATCCCATCCAGAGGCTCCTCATGCAGCTGCACAAAATCATCTACATCACACAAGTACAGTCACGCAGCCGTTCCTGTTGAATCTTATCAGCCCAGATTAGCTGCAGTCACAGAACATACCAGTCAGTCAAAGTCAGGGGTTTCATTACTCTTTGCTCCATCTGTTTTTCATCATCTTGCACAGCTGGAGAGCCTGGAGACGCTCTAATCAGACAGCAGTGGTCACATGTATCTGTGAATGTGCTGCTATTAACTCGCTCTCATTCTGTGTCCAGCTCCCACCGGCTCCACACCACGACACCAGACGGCGCCTCGTTGAAAGATTTAAAAAGTCCCTCTTCCACTCTGGCAGCGATCCCTGCAGCCTGAAAGTGGAGCTCAGCAAGGTTTGAACTATTGGCTCTAATGCTAAAGTGCACTTAGTGATAAGGGGCTGCAGGGGACTCAGTGGTTAGTATCGTTGCCTCGCAGTTAGAAGGTTGCCTGTTCGCGTCCCGGTGAGGACACCCGGGATCTTTCTGCGTGGAGTCTCCATGTTCTCCCCGTGCAGCGTGGGTTCTCTCCGGGTTCTCCGACTTCCTCCCACAGTCCAGAAACATGCTGAGGTTAATTGGTGATTGTAAATTGTTCGTAGGATGGATGGACTTAGTGATGAGGGAAAAAGTTATCACACAGAGAAAATGAATCGGTAAACGTGAGAATAATAATAATTCATGTTGTTTGTATAGTGCTTTTCAAGAACTCAAAGACGCTTCACAGGATGAAAGCAAAAAAAGCATTTGAAAGCCGTATCGTAAAGGAATGCTTTGATGCTGCAGTTATCACCACTTTTACACGAGCATCAGAACGTTACACAGAGCCAGCATTGTTTGGCTCTGTAGGGCACCTCATGCTCCTCAGTGGGAAGTCCGTGAGAACAAGGCTGCTTCGTGCTGTGTTTTCTATTCCCTGTGCGCTGTCCTCCTGAACACATGTCCGGTGCTAACCATATGAGCTGCTGCAAGCCGTTTTCAGACCTCACTGGCAATTCTGCATCTCTGTCCATTTTTAGTTCATTTTTTTTTGTCCCTTTGGACGGCACACCTCAAGAGCCGAGTCACTCAGAAATGTCTTTAAACCGGGTCAAAAACTTGTGCCTGGATTGTTTTTGATCTTTTGAGCTTCTAAACTTATGACTCCATATTTTCATGATGTGATGAAAATAAAAAGGTCAGTTCAGCTTCCTTATAACCATATTTTAATGACCCATATGCAATAGTAACTGACATTAATTGGTATATATCTCGCCCTCTAATTATGAAGAAAATTAATGTTTGGCTTGATTACAGAACAGTTTTATTGGCTATCTCGATTCTTTATACAAATGGCACTTTTTTGTCTATTGCAAATACTACAATGATCACCAATGAGCTAACAACAGAAGTATTCAGACTCTGTACTGAAGTAAAAGTACCAACACAGCAATATGAAAATACTCTATTACTCTAAATGTCCTGCAATAGAGGTCCTACTCAAGTAAAAGTGGATTATTATTCTTAAAAGCAAGTAATGCTGTCAGATAGTAAGAACAATATTGCCCCTAAAATGTAGTGGAGCGGAAATATAAAGTAAAGTACAACTACCTCAAAAGTGTGCTTAGGTACAGAACTTAATTAAATGTACTTCCACCACTGGCCAATACCTACTGCCCAGAACGTCAATATATTATATTTCAGCAACTTTTTGATTATTGTTATTCCTGAAGAAACTGACAATACTTAGTATAAGCTGTGCACGGCAGCAGCTGTTTAACACACCTAAAAATGCCACGGACCATTTCCTAAAACCGAAGGTAACGTTAGGAAAGTGCTTGGGTTGAACAGATAACTTTAAGAAACCTAAATATATATTCATGGAACAAAAGCACATCAAAACAGCACTAAAAACCTGTAGCTACCCAAGCTGGTCTTTACATCAAATCCTCGACCAAACCCAGAGGAGACGCAGAAGGAAAGACCAAGAAACGAAACAACACAGTCACCCCCTATGCTGCAGGAGTTTCTGAAAAGCTCAGGAGGATTTTTAACAAACAGAACATTCCAGTGCACTTCAAACCCACCAACACCCTGAGACACAAGCTGGTCCACCCTAAGGACAAGACACCGAGACACAAACAGAGCAACGAGGTGTACGCAGTCCAGTGCAGCGAGGAACACCCAGACCTGTACATCGGGGAGACAAAACAACCGCTCCACAAGCGCACGGCTCAGCACAGAAGAGCAGCTCCTCAGGACAGGACTCAGCATCCACCTGCATCCTAAGGACAAAGGACACTCATTCGAAGACGACAACGTACAGATGTTGTCCAGGGAGGACAGATGGTTTGAGAGAGGAGTGAAAGAAGCCATCGATGTCAAACTGGAAAGACCATCCCTCAACAGAGGTGGAGGTCTGAAGCATCACCACTCACCTGTTTACAGTTCAGTCCTAAGAACTCTCCCCAGGAAGATGAAACCACATCCACACCAAACCACGAAGACCCTAAAGAACCCCACTGTGGCAGGGGGAGCACTAACGAGTCACATAACGAGGGGGAGGAGCAACAAACCCCCAATTGAAACCGAAACTCAGGTGTTAATGGCTCCTTCAGGATATTAGTATCTGGAACTCCCAACTAGTCAGTCAGAGCTGATGAAGCCTCTTGGATGAGAGGTGGAACGTCTTCAAGGAACTCAAGCAGGTCCAGCTGCTACGATTAGTCCACGAGAACAAATATATTCAGTTTGTATTCACAAAAAGGAAAAGAAAAGCAGCAACTCTACACATTTTAGAAACTAAACTGAGGACCGTTTGACAGAAAACATCAATGTTATTTAAAACAAACAAACAAAAAAACAGCTACGGGACTGTTTTTAGCTCTGGACTGTAATCTGTGTCGTGTGATGTCATTTTAACTGCCTAATCTGTGTAAAGCAGTTTCTTGTATCATGTTGAACATCGGCTGTAATCACATACCTGCCAGATTGCTGGTAAAGTCACAGATTTTTCACATAAATCAGGTAAACGTGGACAGTGTCTGGCTGCTTACTGAACTCTTACCAGTTTTATTTGTAGTATATAATTAAATGATCCTCTTCTTCCCTCTCAGCTCCTCCAGGCCTCCACGGAGCTGATGGAATTAGGACCAACCAGTTCAGACTGGTGGCCGCTGGTGCAGCACTTCACAGGAGAGCGCCACGCTGCCGATAGCACAGGTAGAGTCACTGCTGTCACAGCTTCACGCTACGTTTCCACTGAAAGACATACACGGACAAAATGCTGCAGAGCTTCTCCTGCAAAAATGTTACATGCACTGCATTTAAGTGTTCCTCTTGTTTGATCCAAAATATGAGCAAACCACCAGGAACACTTTTAAATGCAGTCCAGTGCACCACCACCTCTAAAATGTAAAAACCTCTCACATGGCAGAGTTGCTGGATTTGACTTCATCAGACTTCATTTATTCAGATTAATTTTGATGCTGAAAAAGTGAAGCTTATTCAGATTTTATTTTTTGTGACAGTTGACGGGAATCTCAAAGACGGAGTTACGTATCAGCAAATGCAGGTCAGTTAAAAAACAAATAACTGCACAGTCAGTTTTATCATTAATTGAAAGAATAGTTCAGTGTTTTGGGAAATTAGAGATGCTGCTAAGTGGAGAGAGTGTGGTTTTCCACCCGTTTCCAGACTTTAATCTATCGACAGCTGATTAGTTCATTTCCCTTCTTGATGACAGTGAATATCTCCCCGTTGTAAGTGGAGTGTGTTCAAATGTTCGTTTTCAGGGAATAATTGAGGAATTCCTGCAGGACAGCAGCTACTATGAAGCAACACACAGCAGGTGAATACACACATTTTACCGTTCTGTAGTGTTGCACACCTAGAATTCAGTCTCTGTGCTTTATTAAAAGCCTGTTACTAGTTCTAAGCTGTGGAAAGACTTTCATGGCAAACCCTAAATGGGTTTTATTTAATGGCAGCAATCAAGTTGTTTCAGGAGTTAATCCACAAAAATATTGGAGTTGTGAAATGTGAAAAAATCTTTACCTGCTTTAATGCAAATAAATACATCATTTAATTTGGTTTCTTTTGATTTTAGGTTCACAGAAAAGAAATGACCAAGAAAAGAAATAACTGTCGTCTATACTCAACCAAAGAAGTCCCAGAAACAGTTGGAGAAACTTTGGATTTATTTGTGATACGTTATGAATGCTTGAAATGTAATTAACCTCAATTTATATGTATTTAATGTATAAAACTATCAAAGCACTTGTTAAAAACATGCATTTGTTTGCACTTAAGCTGCTGTAACCACGGTGGACAGTTCACGTCACCACACACCTCTTTGGTTCTCAGGCGCTGCTTTTGCTGTGATGTGACTTTGTGAACCTCCAAATATAATTTATTATACGTGAAACTAAATCTGATTTTTCTCTGTCAGTTAATTATCTAAATGTAAAATGTGTGATTGATCCACGAGGAGCTTCTCATATGAAAGTGAACTGGCTCCAGTCCACCACGGTCCTGGTTTATCTGTGGGGGGTCCAGCCTCTGTGTTCCTGTGAATCTTTGTTTTGTTTTTTCAGGGCAGACTGAGTGAAGCACATTAAATTCTCAGGACAAAAGTGGTCAGTGGTTTGAAGTGTCTGCGAGCCACAATTTCCTTGTTCACCTCACCTTCGATGAACTGAAAGGAGGCCCAACTTTTACCTGAATTCAACACATCAGTGTTTGACAGACGTGAGAACCAGCAGGTTAAAAAGTTTTTTCCACTTGTCAGCTGTTATATTCAAAATATATAACATCTAGAATAAAGCTTTTTGCATGTAATTCACATTTTCATCATTTAGTTTGAAAAGCTGACGGCAGGAAATAAGCTTCCTTTGTGCACTTTGATCCAAAAGAGGATTGGTCAGTATAATCTGTATAAAGAGTATCAAACTACTTTATCTGATTACATTTGAATGATAGACACTATTCACTAATAAACTCTATTTAATCCAGACAACGCTAACTGATGTAAATGAAGTGGATGTGTCTTCTTTTGGTGCACTGAGAGGAATGTCCACCTTGAACTTAAAATGAGTGATCTGCATAAAATGATCAGTTTTGGAGAAACATTCAGATAATTTACGTGTGCAAATTACCAACACAGCACCCATCCATCCATCCATTCATCCATCCATCACATAATCGCTCCATGTGGGGGTCTTTTCCCAGTCAGAGGAAAACTGCATCGTTAGGCACTGACCTTCCCAGGGAGGCTGAGAAGTGTGAATAGGCATTTGATCATTGGAAAATTTACTGAACTCAAACCATGTGAGACATCTAGATTTGGTAGAACTATTAGCCGACGTCTGAAATGTGACTACAAACTACTTTTTACAGGAGGCCAAAGTGGTTAAAAAGAACCCCATCAGTTACGGTGAACTCTTCCTCTTTTAAGTACCTAAAGCTGTCAGATAAATGGAGGGGAAACATAACAGCCTTTGTTTTGACACAGAGTTATGTAACCTGTAAAGTCCTCACCGACATAGCATTCTCTAATAGCTGTTTGTTTAAATCAGGGCTTATTTAACTACTAAATAGATGAGTGGATGTACCTTTATTTACTGTGCTGCTGTGTGCAGTTCCTCCCACGATCGACAGGGGGCAGCATGAACCTTAATATGAGGAGAAGAGGCTCTGACCTCGAACAACCTCAGATTCATAAAAGGAAACTAGATCATCTCAGAAAGAGCCTGCAGCTTCAGAGGAAACACGAAAATGCAGAATGAAATTTAATACACAAGACTTTAATAGGCCAACGCAGACACATGAAATGTGTTTAGTCGTATCACAAATAAAAAAATGCTCATATGTATAAACAGAAAATGTAAAAACTTCAAGGTATGGAAGCTGTTGGCACATTTGCAGTAGGCACATGTGAGCTGTTACAGTACAGGACGCTTGTTTGTCAAAGTGTACATTTTTAAGCACATTTAATTTTCTGATTTAAGACTCTATTCCTACTTGTCAGGTTCTATCAGACATTTGAGATTTCAGACCACATTTCCCATAATCCATTTTTATTGTATTTGGAAAAGACTGCATGTACTGCACTTCACACTCTTATTTTTAGTTTTCATTGGGAGAAAATATAAGGTATAACTTGTGGGGAAAACTCTTTTTTTAAACTTTATTTTGGGGGAAAATTGCCAAACATTTAAAGCGTTTTTTATTACAGTGATTCTACAGGTTTTATGTCCCAGTAATCACTGAAACAGCAGCTACGGCCCTCCTCGTTTATGAAGATATAACTTGCCGATAAGCACATTAGTTCATTACATAAGGACATTTATCATCATCCTTAACATATCGAAACCCAAAACCTGCCGGCAGGTATGAAAGGCATGTTCATTTTTATTATTTTTGAAATTGCTCAAATTAAACCATTTATCAGGGACAGAAAGTATAAAACAAAGAATTTAAACTTTCAGATGTTCATTGACCTCGTGTGTGATGGTAGAAGTAAACACATTTGATAATTACTTCATTCAGACCATTTCCAAAACATCATGTAACAAAAAAATCTGCTCTCTTCAGCAGAACCGGGAGGCCGTGATTCAGCTGCAACTGAGTCGTGTAACAAAACTTTAAGGACTACAGTCGTGACTTGATAATCCGATGGGTGGATGGATGGATGGATGGATGGAAAACCATTCTGTCATCACACTTGTGTGTTTCTGCTTTAACTACATGACACCAAATACAGCAGGGGACTATTTAAATTTAATTTTTTGACTATTTAAGACAAACCAATTCATCCGAATCATCCACCATCCATATTTGTGTATTGATTTCAGCAATACAGTCGTGACTCGATGATCTGACACTAAATGTAAAACCTTCTTTTATGTCGGATAGCAAGGCTGTCGGATTGTCAAGACGGAGGTCCTGATACAAGGAGGGCTTGATGCTGGAAGGCTCATTAGTTGTTAATATT